GGGACAGCTGGGGTTACACATTTCACCTAAAGAAAAGTGAGACAGCAAACCTTAACGGAGAAGGCCTTAATGCAGGGACAGGTTAAGAGTATAAGCTTGGTTTTAAGACTCCTTTTAGATAAGGGCTCTAATTTTAAGTAAGTCAGAAGATAAAAGCAACGTGGTATCGTGCTGTCTGCAGTGTTTAAACAGTGAAGGAAGCCAGTGAGCAAGCAAGACAGATCTCTGGCGTGGCGGGAAAAGTGCTCACTGATGATAGTCTTTGCTTTCCGCCACCTTGGTTGCTTCTTTAGGTTTAACCTGTGTTGGCTTTCTCCCCTCGCTCTCTTAAACAGGAACATTCCGCTTGTAGGCTGAAATCATTAGGGATGGATCTGCCGTGCCCTACCTGGAACTGCCTTTGGAGCATCAGAAGGAAGAGGATGTTACACAACACTAACTCTGGCAATGGTGCTTGAAGTATTAGAGCTGCAAGTTCATATCCATGTAGCTAAGAAAAAGTAAATATCACTGATGCCAGGCACACTGGATCACTGCCATGTGTAACACTGCCTCCCACATGCTTCAGCTCGTGTCTGCCAGAAGAGGAGCAGCTCACTGTAATTTTGTTGTAGTCAGGACAGCAATATTAGAGCATTTTTCCACTCTCTGCTTTAATAAAGTTGTATGAAAAGGGGATCTCAAGAGTTCTTGTGGTAACAACTGGCTCCCTGCTAGTCGATAAAATTATGCATTGCTGCAGACAGCAGAGCACTGAAAGAAAAACGTAGGAAGAGAGGACAGAGCAGCCCCATGGGCTGTGTCTCACAGTGATTACCAAGCCACTGAGGTTTGATGTGCTTTCTAACAGTCATTAAAATCAGCGTACATGTTTGGCTGCTGATATCTATCAGAGGCTGCATTGACCTGGTATTTAGCTGCAGCTTCCCTTGGGCACTGCTAAAGGCAGAGAACAAAGCACCAGAGAAAGGTTCAAAATCCAATTAAAATTCCAGGTCTAGGAAAAAAAATCAACAGCAAAGCCAAAAGCTCCGCACTGATTTTGTTTGGTTTTTGAAGGTTTGCATTTCTTGCTTAGACCTGGTCTTGACTCTTTTTTTCTTGGACAGAGTAATCTCTTTCCTTCTCCTGAAGCATAGCCTGCCTGCAGGGCCTCACGTCCATGGTGGTCACAGCTCCTTCTGCTTTAAGAAGAGATTGTGGTTTGATTTTAGCAGGGCACACCTGCCCCTAACACTGCCAGACCCTGAGCACCTGCTCCTCATGAAGCAAAGCTTAAAAGTTTTAGTTCATCCCCTAATCTCTCTTCCTTGCACCTGCAAAGCTACGCTGCAACAGAGGGATCTGCGGAGCCCTTAGCTTGTCAGCTTGTCAGCTTTTAGGGAGAGAAACAGCCTTTAGAAATTGAAGGAGTGATGGACAGCACAGGGACTGAGAGCTCCTTCACTCCGATGCGTTGCGAACCCCTGTTCTGCTACGTAAAATGATTCCTTGTGGCAACAGTGCTCTGAAGCAGCACCCAGAAAGCACAGTCATGGGCCTCCACCCCATCCCAGATACATCCTCCCAGACAAGAGACCAAGGGGCAGTCTAGGAACCAGGAATAACTTGGAGAAATACTTACAAAGCGTATCTGAACTTTTCTCCTTCATCCTTTTTCACTCCAGCATTTAGGGATGGGATTATCGTCTTGACATCGATGCCTTTTGTCAGACCTTTCATAGAATTTCTTATTACTTTAATGATTCACAGTCACACTCTAGCAGATGCAAGGAGCCATTTCTTAAGACCTGAGCCTTTAAATGCCGACACCAAAGTTATTTAAATTACTACATTTTCTGGATATGCCTTCTCCCATTTCTGCCAGGTTTGGCATAAATCACAGCCTTCCAGTTTTGTAAATCTACATTATTTTTTTTTCCTTTTCAAAGGCTGTTACATTTATCTGTAAGTCTATCAGTGTTGGGCCCAAAGATTTCAGACTGTTACCTGAAGCAACTGGAGACAGAGATTGTGCGGTGGAAGGAGCGATCACGCACAGAGAATTGCTGCCTCAAGGCAGCAAGTCTTCCTTTCTGAGGAGACCATAGAAATCAGATTGCTTTAATGAAAAAGAAGAATACTCTGGGACAAGAACATCTTCACTGGAGCCAGAAAGCCATCGCGGCCCCAACTGCAAGCACTTCTATGGGAGCGTGAGCGTAGGGACAGAGTCAGGGTATGTGAGCTGCTGGGGTAAGTTCCCAGAGGAAATGGTTCAATCGTGGCTCTAGAGGAGACACCAAAAACGAGACTTCTGGAGGGCAGAGGAGACACATCGTTACCAATTCAGGCCACAGTTTGGACTCCCCGGAGCCAGCAGCTCTCTTTTGACCTGTTCCTCTAGTCCAAAGTGCTGGGTTTTGCATGAAAACGCCACTGTGCATGCATAGCTGAAGTCATCTGCAGTTCAAAGTGAAGGTTATTTTTCAAACGGCCTTTTTTTGTCAAAGCAAACTGAAAGCAGTCAGATCTCACAGAACACGATCTTCCCAGGTGCCAACACGGGAACGTAACAAAATGATTCGCAGTATGATTGCTGGTAGACAGAAATTATTACTGTGAATTACAAAGAGCGCCAAACGGGAGGAGAAATTACATGAAGAACACCAGCACCTAATATATTCGAAAATACCGTGTTCCCGTAACACCAGCAGCAGCTCAGTTTCCTGTTCCTCAGAGTTCCAGGCTTCCCTGGAAAATGCTGCTGCTGACAGGTGAGAGCACATTTATTCCATACGTATTACGGGAGGTACAGCCAAAGGCAGCCATGCGGCAAGAGCCAGGAGGGTATTGGCACATCTTTTATTTCCTGCCCTCGCAGAAGCGAGGAGCACCATGATGGAAATGATGCCTCCTGAACCCAGAGGAGAGATAAAGAGGGACACTGTTCCCCAGGAGTGATTTTGGCCCTTGCCTTTTGCTCAGGAGAGCTGTGCTGCAACCCTGCCCACCGCTCGGGGAATGGAGCTGATTTCCTCCCCTGGAGGTGAACGAGCAGACAGCCCTTCACCTTCCTCCCAAGTGCGGCGGTGTCGTGTGCTGTTTCACAGCAGCTGTGCTTCGCAGTGACATGGTAGATGCTTAATGAGGGCGGAATAATTTAAATACATCTGTTTTGAGGGATGAATAAGCACCTTCTGCCCTCATTAGGCTTTCCTCTTCAGATCCATGTATTGTTTGGATATTGCAGCATAGAGCTTTGGCCAGCAATGTTTTAAAAACAACTTCCCCCCATAGATTTTTTCCAATACATAGGCGCTGTAAAGAGGGATTTCTCCCAAGACTTCAAAACTGAGGGGTGAAATGCGAGCCCGGCTGGGAGGAGGGGACACTGGGACAGACCCCTCCAAAGCAGGCTCTGATGGCATCTGCGTTTTCCTGGGAGCGTGTGGCCAGACAGGAAACGTATTCCTGCAGCCTGTGTTTTGGGAGATGAGCTACACCTTGTTTTGACCAAAGCCAGGAGCCACCGTGTGATACCAGACACACCAGAGGAGCTTCCCTTCCCAGCTCATTGACCCTGCCACGTTTCCCTCCCGATGGCTTTTCATTGCCTTGGGTGTTGCTCCTGACATTAGGTGGCAGCAGATGGGCTGTGTCTGGGACATGGCTGGATGATAACGTCTATTAAAGCTCCCGAAAGAGCCCAGTGTCCAGCCTTTAGCTTCTCCCTGTCCCAGCGAAGGCGCTTCATGTAGCACAAAAATGCCTCTTGCTTAGGATTTCTGGTTTCAGGGCGGCATGTGTTTGTGTGGTTGCAGCAGGGTGAGCTTACCTGTCCCCTCAAGGTGGGCTTTCCTCCCCTGTTGAAGTCAACGTGGCCCAAGGGTGCAGGCGTCTGCTTGAATGTACGTGCTTGGGGGTGTCTCAGGCGGGTGTCTCAGAAGCAGGTTGAGGCCAGCTGCAAAACACAGAGGAGCAACAGCCTTTCCCCACCTCTGTGCCCAGCTACCCTAGTATAAAGCATAATTTGGAAACATAAGGGAAAACAATGTGTTTTTTTCGTCTCCGTCAGCAAGGAGGTTTCATCTGGCCAGTGTCCTTGCACAGCCTGAGCAGGACGAGTGGACAGTGCCTGGGACGCGCTTTGGGACAAGCATTTACGGCTCGCCTCCCCAGCGCACCCTTTGCGGGAAGCCGTGGCTGTGCCGAGGCAGCTCAGTCCCCAGCCCTGCCACCTAAAAGCAGCAACCTTGAAATTACCTCAGCCTCAAGCACCCGACGGCTCCCGTGCGCTCCTCCCTGCCCAAACCTGCATCTTCTGGGCCCCTGGGCTTTGGGTGGTCCCCAGATTTGGGTGATGGCTCATGCCAGGTGTGGCCATCACCCGTACTTGTGGCCGCTGTTGCTAGCACCCCTCCCCTGGTAACCTGTCTCCAAAAAACCATCTTCCCAACCTGAGAAAATAAGAGAATGAATGAGCTTTAGATCTGCTCATGGGTCCTTTTCCTCCTCTCCAAAAGTTCTCAGAATTCACCTTGATGTCCTCCCTCAACCTCCCGAATAACTTAGTCTTCTGAAGCATAAAACAAACCGTAGTAAAAACATGATGGCAGCTTGTCCATATATGGTATCGGTTTTATTTTTCATATTAAATAACATGTAAAAAAATAATTTATGCAGGCAAATATGTATAATATACTCTGTAATAAATAGCAGGTACAAAAATAGATTTCCATAAAAACAGTCAGTGGTTTGAAAACCAGCAAACCCAAGATATCCAATGAATACCTCTATCACCATTGAACAGCATCTTTCAAGAACAACATTCCTTTACCTCCTCCCAAGCCATTTATAAATACACAATAAAACCCCAATAAGTTAAAACACAGTGAAAAAAAAATTGTTCCCTGAGCTTGCATAAATAAGAAAAAATGCTTGAATAGGAAATACAGTCCAGCAATGCAATAAAAATCCTTTTTCCTGTTCCTCAGGGCATCCTTTGGGGCTGGTGAGGGCTAGGTGCACTGCTCCCAGAGAGCCACACACTGCAGGTCGTGCAGGATTTGGAAGAGGTGGAGGATGGCAGAGGCCTCCAGGCAGCCGACCCCCCGGCCAGCCGATAGTCTCCTGTGGTGGGGAGAGGGGGCAGGTTATCACCTGGAACGGGGGCAGCGGGCCCTGTGCAGCTGCTGACACCCCAAAACCCTCTCACCCTGCTGGCCTGACTTACTGTTTCCTTGGCCTCCTGCAGCTTGTGCAGCCAGTGCCTCACTTTCCCAGAGGGCTGATGCAAAAGAGCCTCTGTGTCCATCTGCAGGGAAAGTGGCCACGTAAGGACTGTCAGTGCCTCCTGGTGCTGCTGCCAGCATGGGGCTGGGGATTTTGGGAGGGGGGCACTCACACAGCCTCGCAGGTCCTCCTGGACTTGAGTGAGGAAGGCCAGGGGCTGCCAGCGTGTCTTGGCAAACCTGGGATCAGCAGGGAGCTCCAGCATGCTGATGGCAAAGTCCAGCTCGGCTTCCACCAGCTTCACTCGGTCAAGCACCTGTGGGAGGGAGCATCCCGATTAGGGACACAAAGCGCCAGGGCTGGTGGCAGGCTGGAGGGCAGGGATCTCGAGGACCTGCCCTGGGGGTGCAGCTGGATGTGAGGTTCTGCCTGGAGGGGGGATGTGTACCCTCTTTTTACAGCATTGCCTCTTACCGACAGGCTTGCTACTTTCCATTTCCGATGGAAGAGCCTGGTGTGGCATTTGTGGTCTGACAGTGGCATGATGTCCTCCTCCTGCAGGAGTAAAACAAGAGAGTTTGAAAAACTGTCACCTTGACTTTTGACAGCCTCAAGCAGCCTTGAGAGGTTGGAAACCAGGACATTTCACCCAGCATCCTTCTTGTCCCCAAACTCCCTTGAAAAACATGCATCCTCATCCCTAAACAGCTGCAGAAAACATCCACCTCGTCACTCAGGGTCTCACATCCTTTCTGCCTTGTGCCCTGCCAGCCCACAGCCCCCCGTTGCCAGCAGTACTCACAAACTGCTTCTTCAGCTTCCACACAGCCTGCAGCTCGTGGGGCACCGGGAACCGGTACTTGGACAGGCTGCAGCCCTTCTTCAGGGCGTCCCGGGGGAAGGCAGTCCCGGAGCTGGTCCCCAGCACCAGCACAAGCAGTGAGGTGAAGCCCAGGCACAGCATTTCCCCAGTGACAGCTCGACAGCGAGCAGGTTATGATGGGGCCGCGGTGCAAGCCAGAGAAGATGAGCTGGAGCGCGTCGGGTCGGATCCGCTAAATCTCAGATGCCTGAAGGTGTGGCTCGCTTGGCTGCGCTGGGGGTTTGCGTTCCCCTCTCTCGCCGTGGCTGCCTCGTTGCTCCATCTCCCCAGCTTTTTATGCTGCCTGCCAAGTGTGATTGCACTTTCAGGTTGGCAGGAAAATCCAGGGGATAGTGGCTCTGGAAAGAGGAAAGTGAAAGTGGTGGTGGAGGGAGGCGTCTGCCGCTGCCTGCCCTGCTGCTTGCCTTG